TATGTTCCCGCTTTACAGAGAAACTATATTAGTGTTTCATGCTTGGACAATGATGGATATGATTGTCATTTTGGAAATGGCAAATATAAGATAACATTTAATAATGCATGTGTTGGTCTTGCTATCTTATAAAATGAGCTTTATTTGTTATCACTACGTGATGATGTGAATGTTGTATGCGATGATGGGAACATTGTGTGCGACAATGAGAATGTATCTTCTTCTGCGGATGTAAACAGAAAACAAAAGAGAGCTCACGATGCGTCGTCGAAATTATGGCACTATCGTTTAGGTCATATTTCGAGGGGAAGAATAGAAAGACTAGTTAAGAATGATATTCTTCCTCCATTAGAGTTATCAGATTTAGAACAATGCACAGAATGCATAAAAGGAAAGTATGTAAAGAAAATTAAGAAAGATGCCAAACGAAGCACAGGAATTTTATAGATTATTCACACAGACATCTGTGATCCATTTCCTGTAAAAAGTGTGGATGGTTATGATTCGTTCATAACATTCACAGATGATTACTCCCGTTATGGCTATATTTATCCAATCAAAAAAAGAACAGAAGCATTGGATAAATTTAAGATATTTAATGAAGAAGTTGAAAACCAACGCAATTTAAAGATTAATATAGTCAGGTCCGACCGTGGGGGGAGTACTATGGTCGGCATACTCCATATGGCCAAGTTTCTGGACCTTTTGCAAGGTTCTTACAGGAGAATGGCATAGTAGCCCAGTATTTTACACCGGGCGAACCTCAGCAGAATGGAGTAGCTAAAAGACACAATCGTACCCTGATGGATATGGTGCACAGTATGCTAAGTTACTCCACCTTACCGTTGAGCCTGTGGATGGAGGCGTTAAAAACCACCATTCATATTCTCAATAGAGTACCAAGTAAGTCGGTGCCCAAAACACCGTATAAGTTGTGGACAGGAAGAGTACCCTCACTAAACCACTTACATGTGTGGGAGAGTCCTGCTGAGGCTAAAGTATTTAACCCAAATATTGGGAAGCTAGATCCCAAAATAGTAAGTTGCCATTTCATTGGCTACCTAGAAAAGTCAAAATGTTTTCGTTTCTACTGTCCAGACAGACATACAAAGTTTGTGAAAACGAGACACGCTGTCTTCCTAGAGAATGAAATGATGAGGGGGAGCATGGTAGCTCGAGAAATTAACCTTGAAGAGAAGCGGGTGTATGCGCCAACTCTGATGATTCATGAGCCATTTTTCTCACTACCTGTTGTCGCTGCACCGATAGTGCAAGATACTATGGTGCCAGCACCTGTTGTTATTCCGCCTATGGCAACAATGAATGACGATGAGGAACCTGTTCTTCTAGATCTTGTAGAACCTATTGCCACACATGAGGGGGACCAACAACAGCCCCAAATAGAAGATGTGTCAAATGTGGAGGCCCCTAGAAGGTCTCAAAGAGTTAGAAAATCAGCTATTCCTATTGACTATGAAGTATACAACACTGAGAAATTTCAAATAGAGGATGATCCCACCTCATTTGAAGAAGCCATGAGAAGTGATCATTCATCAAAGTGGCTTGAGGCCATGAAAGATAAAATGAAATCTATGAATGCCAATAAAGTTTGGGACTTGAAAATAATTCCTAAAGGAGCAAAAATAGTAGGCTGTAAATGGGTCTACAAAATAAAACTTGACTCTCAAGGAAATACATAGAGATATAAAGCGCGACTTGTGGTAAAAGGCTTTACGCAAAGAGAAGGCATCGATTACAATGAGACATTTTCTCTAGTCTCATGTAAGGATTTCCTTCAAAATAATATTGGCTTTAGTGGCACATTACGATTTAGAATTACATCAGATGGATGTAAAGATGACATTTCTCAATGGGGACTTGGAGGAAAATGTTTACATGGCACAACCGAAAGGTTTTGTCATGGAAGGAAAAGAACGAATGGGATGTCGATTAAGGAAATCCATTTATGGATTAAAACAAGCTTGAAGACAGTGGTACTTAAAATTTGATCAAACAATAAGGAATTTTGGATTTAAAGAGAATGTAGAGGACAATTGTGTCTATGCAAAGTTTAAGAATAGGAAGTTTATCTTCCTTGTCCTATATGTGAATGATATCTTACTTGCTAGTAGTGATGCCAGTCTACTACTAGAAACAAAGAAGTTTTTGTCCTGAAAATTTGATATGAAAGATCTTGGTAAAGCTTCGTTCGTTATAGGGATCGAGATTCACCGAGATAGAAGTAAAGGGGTATTATGACTGTCACAAAAGGCATACATAGAAAAGATCTTAAAGAAATTCAGTATGCACAAATGTAGTCCCTCACCTGCTCCTATAGTCAAGGGCGATAGATATGGGGATTTTTAATGCCCTAGGAATCAGTATGAGATCGATCAAATGAAAATGGTTCCATATGCTTCAACTGTCGGAAGCTTGCAATATGCTCAAGTATGTACGCGCCCTGACTTGGCATTTGTTACCGGGTTACTTGATAGATTCCAGAGCAATCCTGGAACAAAACGCTATAAATTAGTAAAAAAAGTCTTGCATTATTTGCAAGGAACGAAAAGCCTCATGATGACATATAGAAGATCTGATTCACTCTATATAGTGGGATACTCAGATTCTGATTATGTAGGAGATGATAGAAAATCCACGTCTGGATATGTATTCACTCTCGCAGGGGGAGCTATTTCATGAAAAAGCTCAAAGCAAACCGTCACTACATCGTCCACAATGTATGTCGAGTTTGTAGCATGTTATGAGGTAACGGGGCAGGTGAACTGGCTAAAGAAGTTCATACCCGGTTTGAAGGTGGTTGACGACATCTATAAACCACTTAAGTTATACTGAGATAATAATCCGGCAGTACAGTATGCTCACAACAATAAGTCAAGTGGTGCTGCCAAACACATTGACATAAAGTATTATATTATGAAAGATAAAGTCCGGGATCATGTCATAAGTCTTGAGCATATAAGTACCAAAAAGATGCTTGTGGATCCGCTTACAAAAGGCTTATCACCCAACGTATTCAGAGAACATGTAGCCGGTATGGGTTTAAGGGAAAGCCTATAATTTCTGGATAAAAGAAGGCCCAAAGTTAAGTATCTATTTCAGAACAGAGTGGTGTGTTGTAGCTATTAAATCTATCGGCAATTGACCGTGACGATGAAACATGCTCTATGTGCTAATCTGTAATGGAATGAACAAAAGTAAATGATATGAAATTGAAAGATGGTAGGAGATCAAGGGGGAGATTGTTGGATTGATCTCTAATCCTAAACTGGGCCCAACGGCCTAGTTGGGCCTTTGATCCGCGCCCTGATCGGGGACGCCCAACCCACTATGGCTGGAGGGCATCTGTCACACTACACAATAAATAGAGGTGGGGGCCAACGGCTCTGAGTACGAGGTTCGCCTGAGCCAAGCTCCCCACCGAAATCCCTAATCCGATCTAGAGGGTGCGCAGCCAGTGACGGAAAGCCACCAACCGCGCCGCCACCGGACTGCGTCACCGCCACCACTGCACTGCGCCGCCACCTGTCTTCACCGCCGGTCGTCACCGCCCATCACCGACACCGTCTTCACCGACCGTCGCTGCCCTCGCGTAGACACCGACACAACACCCATGGCAGACGCCTCTGGATCGAAGGCCTACGATGGTCGGTAACCTAGCACTACTCCTCCCTCTATTCTCTGTTTAGTTCATGTACTAGGACATGTTATCCATTTACAATAAGTACCTGGCTAGATCTATGACTATGTGATCATAAGAGATTCCAACAGAACCAGCTCAAGAGGAGCAGCCACCTGGCCGCGGATTGCTCGGTCTGTCCGAACGAGGTAGGCTACCCATGCCCGACCACGCTCGGCACTGCAATGCCCCCCATTGATCCGATCCAATCTCGCCGCGCCTCCTGTTTGCTTGATCGTATCAGGGGTTTTTTTTCTCTCGCAACGAAACAGCATAATGCTGGCTTATAAGCCACAGAAATGATCAAGCGAACATGTGCTGAATCCTGCCTGATTTTGCCTGATTTTGGACGCCCGCCTCTCTGCTATGTAGGACCTGGACGACGAGCCCGGCGCGACGAGGAGGACGGCGTGCGCGGGGTCGATGCGGAGCTCGGCGAGGTGGCACGGCGCTGGCGGCGGAGTGAAAAGAAGGGCTTCGGGAGGTGAAACTCGGACTGGGAGGTTACAGGATGTTGCGCGTGAGGACCGAGCCAGACTGGCCCGGGAGAAACGAACCTTTTGGGCCTAGAGGGCACGGATGGGATGTCCTATCGAATGTTTGACACATGTATAAAGTATTAAATATAGACTAATTACGAAACTAATTGTACAGTTTGCGACTAATTTGTGAGACGAATCTTTTAAGTCTAAGTAGCCCATGATTTAATAATGTGGTGCTACAGTTGCATGTGCTAATGACAGTTTAATTAGCCTTAATAAATTTGTCTCGTGAAATATCGACGGATTCTGTAATTTATTTTTTTATTAATACTTGAACATGTCATGTGACACTTTTATAGGACACCTCTTAAATTTTACGCATCCAACACCCCTAAATCAAACATGCGGGTTACAGCTGGAAAGCGCAGGCCACCCCCTTGGCCCTGTATCAAACAGGCTCTCAGAGACCGATCTCGAGAGAGGGTCGATAAAAGGCATAGGCAGATATAGCAGCTAGGAGCGATGGCCGTACGCGCATATACTAGTAGGACTAGGAGAGGAGCAGCAAATTAAAGGCATATATAGGCAAATAGTAGTAGTTGCGACCCCAGCGATAGAGGAAGCAGTGCTACTGCTACGACTAGTGCTCGTAGCCGCTAGATACAAGGTGACGAGAGAGAGAGAGAGGGAGGAGAGAGGAGATCTTGATCTAGTTCTAGTAGAGTGCTAACAGTGAAGCAAGCTGAGCTAGCTGCTAGGAAGAGGGGAGGAGAAGGAAGGAAGGGAATCGAAGCAGCAGCAGCAGCAAGAATCGAAGCAGGATGGGGCGCGGCAAGGTGGAGCTGAAGCGGATCGAGAACAAGATCAGCCGGCAGGTGACGTTCGCCAAGCGCCGGAACGGGTTGCTCAAGAAGGCGTACGAGCTGTCGGTGCTCTGCGACGCCGAGGTCGCCCTCATCATCTTCTCCAGCCGCGGCCGCCTCTTCGAGTTCTCCACCTCCTCATGGTACGTCTGCGTCACCTGCCTTGCTTATTAACCCTACCTCCGTCCTAGCTCCCTTGTTCAAAAGCACACGGTCGCCGCTCCAAGCATCCATCATCGGATCTCCATCTCTAATCTCTACTAGCTCTTCTTGAATCTACAGGACCATCCATGCATGCGTGACATTTTGTGCCAAGAATTTCATGCATGTACGGACTATGATGCTTGTTTGGAATTTGGTGTTCATCCGTGCCAACCTCAAGTTGTATACATTTCTTTTTTTTTTCCTTTGTGGATAGGGATATGTCCTGAAATTTCGCAGAAATGATATAATTGGTTTTGAGTTTGACGCTTTTTTTTTGGTGGGATTTCATGTGAAGGCTAGCTGTTTTCTTTAGATCTGTCTCTGGCTCACACATGTAGATCATAGCCTCATACATACATAGCTCCTGTATGTATGCTTCTTTTTGCTGTTATCATCTCAGCGCGCGCTCACCTTTCCTCTTTTGTTTCTAACTTCAGTTAAATAACGTTTGCTATAAAGGGTCAGTCAATAGAAGAGGACAACACAGATGATCTCGATCTCTTCACAATCCGTTTGATCTATCTATCTGTAGGCTGCAGCTCTAACCCTCATCGTCTCCTTTTTAGCGCATGTCAGCAGGGGGTCATTAGCTTCTTCCTTCTTGCTTCCTAGTGATGTAGTACATCGAAGGGGATCTTGCACACAGCTACCTGCAGGACTGGACCATTCTTTACATATCCAGATCTGGTTGTGAACATGAACACATCATTTTTTTTTCTCATGTGTTTATCATGCAATTTTTCTAGCTGTGTGCGTTATTATTACTGGTGAGTCCCTATTCCCTAATAATTCTTCCCTGTGTTTATTTCTCTTAGGCCCAGTTTAGTTCCCTCCCATTTTGCAAAATTTTTCAAGATTTTCCGTCACATCGAATTTTGGTCGTATGTATGAAGCATTAAATATAAATAAAAAATAAAACTAATTACACAGTTTAGACAAAATTTACGAGGTGAATCTTTTAAATCTAATTAGACTATGATTAGATACTAATTGCTAAATAACAACGAATGCCAGTGACGTTTTGCTAAAAATTTCGGCATCTAAACAGCCCCTTAGCTTGCTTGGATTTCACTGTTCACATCTGCTAGCTCTAGATTCTACTGTTCCATTGGAGTGTTGAGACCTCTCTCTCTCTCTACGTCTTGTCAAATGTCTAGGCTCCTCTGTCGTCGTGCAAGCAAGCGGCTGCAGCAGGAGGCAAAGTTACTGATGAGAGAGAGGCACATGTAGTACTCGTACTAGGTGTGGTGTATCGATTGGCCCGTCAGGAGTTATCCCCATGGACATTGGACAGGCATCAGTGTACTGCATGCACGCCTTTCGCTCTTTTAGGCATGCAGGCAAGAGGGGCTATGCAAGGTGCATATGTATCCGGACCATATATGAACATCGTGTCATATCGTATGCAAAACAATATATACTACTCCTAGAGTATAATCTGATGGAGAGAGAAAGTACCAATTCTTTTATGTGTGTTAGCTGATGCAGAGAAATCCAGTGCAGGCTGACAATGCACATCATGTGTCAGTTTTGTTCCAAAAAGAAGCTGTACTCGGACTGATGATGTTGTAAAAAAATTTACTGATTCCAGTTGTCGAAACTGTATTCAGTCAAGAATCCAATTTTGTATTGAGAGGTGTATGCATGCATGTGTTGGTCCAACCTTGTTCATTTGTCTAATTTAAGTAGAACTCTGAATATGATGACTAATGAATCTATCTTTGCTAATTTCTATATGTGTGGTTCTGTGCATAATTAATATTTTGCCGTTAGTTAATAGGAGGGGTAAAAATATATAATGTGATGAAGATATATGCTTATTAGAGATGATATGCTACTGGTATTAATTTGGCTTTACCTTTCTATTAAATATAAACACAAAGTATTGCATCAAACTTTTTAATTTATTTATGTAAGCACATATCAATTGTATCAGTTTGTTGGTGTCTTGTCCTCTTGTTGATCCTCAATGCTTGCTTTCTCAACAGCATGTACAAGACGCTGGAGCGGTACCGCACCTGCAATTTTGCATCCGAAGCATCAGCTCCACTAGAGGCGGAATTAGTAATCTTATTACTGATTTATTTTCGCCACTTTTAGTGCATGTGTATGCATTTCATGTATGAACAGAAGCATGCTTTTTTTATAGGATAAACGCATCTTCTAAGAACACATGGCTGGATAATTATTTCTGGAAATATATAAGAGATATGATACCGACAATAAATAATATGAAATAATGTAGGCAGATGTACGTGTGACTGGGTAGATAATGTTTTCACTATTACAAAATAATAAACACTATGTTTTTAAATAAAGTCCTATGAAAGCTTTATGGTTGAGTAATAAACACAAAAGATGATATTACACATTCAACTTTGCTGTGGTATATGTTGTATCTAGGATATTCTATCTAATAAATAATGAAATGCTGGCAAGAGGTACTGATGGACATATAATACTTTCTAATAATTGAGTGTGTATAGTATCTCTACTGTTTATATTTTACACTTCGATCTTGTATTTCATGTGCTAGCTAGCTGTGTAATATATCAGCATGCACCTTATGCTAGATATGCAACCAATCATGACATGCATACCGACTCCACTTTTGGTCAGTGCAAAGTCATATACATAATTAACATTTTCAAAGTCAAATGTTATATATCTTAATTACTGCCGCCTACAGCTACTAACTTGCCGCCTCCCCACGTTAAGCTGGACTAGTAAGCTAGGTTTTATCTATGTGCGTGCACCAAAATTAGAGACACATTTCTGTATTTAATTAATGGTCACGATTTTTCTCAAACTAATTATTAGACCTGCTTTTCTTGTTCAACAGAATAATTATCAGGAGTACTTGAAGTTAAAGACAAGAGTTGAGTTCTTACAAACAACTCAGAGGTAAGACATTACTTTACAGTCAGTGAGCTATGTTGGTTGGAATTGGAATATATATCTACCACAAGTGCCAGGCTAATTAGGTTTGGTTATCTTAATCTGCAGAAATCTACTTGGTGAGGACTTGGGTCCACTTAACGTGAAGGAGCTAGAGCAACTTGAGAACCAGATTGAGATATCTCTCAAGCATATCCGATCATCAAAGGTAGCCAATGAAAATTGCATACTTGCATTTATGCTCAGTACTTCAGTCAAGGTCAAATTTACCAAATTTCTAACCGGCCAGCAGTAAACAATGGCATCATAAGATCAAATTTAGCAATTTCCTAACCAGCGACAAACATTTACAGAACCAGCAGATGCTCGACCAGCTCTTTGATCTCAAGCGCAAGGTGATCAAATCATTTTCAATATTTTTTGTTTTTCGGTCTCTCTTCCTAAAAGACTCCTGGAAATACTAACCAACAGTGAGGTTTTGCAGGAACAACAACTGCAAGATGCTAACAAAGACTTACTAAGGAAGGTAATGCATTGTGAATGATAAGGCTCAGCCTGTGAATACATTTTATTCCTAGTGATGTGTTTGCATCTTTTTTTATATATATCTATATATACATGAGCACTGTTTTGGCAATTAAATCCTCATTCATGAAACTGAGCTTCATTCTGCATATACAAAATCTGACACAATAAAATTATTCAGGGGAAATAAATCTACACCATTGTATAAACTACAATACACTTAAGATTGGCACGGTTTAAATACATAGTCTTGCCTGGTGATACTGATGCAATAGTGATGCATACAAAGACACTAAAACCCAAAAAACTCCTGTAAATGAATTCCTAACAAAGGAAGGTATATGTTGCTAAAATTTCATAGCTATAGATTTATGAATTTAAACAAGTATTGTTGTTAACCTTCTGTACTCCATCTGACCATCAAGAAGTATGCTCTCATTTCAAGTCTTCTATTATTGTACCAGATACAAGAAACTAGTGAAGAAAATGTGGTGCGACTGACTAGCCAGGACATTGGGTGTAGTGGATCTAGTGGGCATGGTGATGAAGCCAACCAAGAACGCCTTCACCTTGCTCTTGATCCTTCCCTGCATATAGGGTGATCATTCTTCACTTGTTTCAAGTACAGAATTTATACACTACCAAATGATTAAAAATTCAGTATATATTTCTTATTTTGAATAAATTATATAGTTCTTTTTTTTTGTTTCTGTATTGTCAGAATAATTCAACAGATCACTACTGAATTGGTAATTCATAGTAAAGCAAACATGGAAATAGCTAACCTTACAGTTTCTTAATAGGTGGTAGTATAATTAAAATAAGTTGCCATCGTACAAAAAATGCTCTTGCATATTATCAGTGGAGTGTTAAAAAACTGTAGTACCTGCAATAAAATCCCCTGCAAAATGCTCTTCCATATTATCTGATCCTTTTACCCTCCTATGTAGGTATCAAGCTTACATGGACCACCTGAAAAATGATTAAGTTGCTTCTTTGTGCTCTGTGCTCCTAGTGGCCATGGATCTTCTATATATATGTTGGACGTAATGCTTTTGACAAATCCTCTATATTTAACCATATCGGTCCTAGCTTTATGTACTGTATGTACTAAACTAAGTAGTCCTATGACTCTTTTGTTCAAGAAGAATGATCTGATCATGACTTTCTTGTTAAATAACCACCATATCTCATTTTGAATTGATCGTCTACTAAAAAGCAGTGCTTTTGTGAGTACTTAGCAACTAATATGTGATAAGGCTCTCTGATCATGTGATTAGTGCCATGTTACATGTTTATCTTACTAGTGTGAGATTCGTCATAATTTTAATTGATCTGCGTTGTAGAGAAAAAGGGAAAAATGAATCCACCTGATTCAGGCTTTTGTAACATAAAAAAATAGAAATAGTCAACTAGTAATAGAGGCACACAATAACAATGGAACATATGTGACATGTTTAGAGCACTTATTACGACACATAATATAAATTTCAGAGTTTATATTAAAAAAATAAATGCTTAATTTGAAGCTTTATTGACATAATAATATGTTCCCGGCCAAGATATATCCAAAAGGCCAATCAGCTATTTATGTGGTACCATACTGGAATACAATAGTTTATTCCCCCATCCACCACAATTTTGTTTTTGTGTGCGACCATGCTTATGAACTAGCTTAGTAGAACCATTTCCTCTTTTTGCATGTATAGTTTTTTTTTTTCCTGGCATCAATGCAAGTTCAATATATATATATATATATATATATCTTCCTGGCATCAATGAGAGTACACCGCCATATCATTTCCATATCTCTCTCTTTTCCTAGGCATGAGCATACCATGTCACTTCTGGGGCCTAATCAACATCGTGGAATATGTGTTGTTCTTGTGGACTGGATCAGCATCATTGTCTATTTTGTAATAACCTGGGAATCTGTTCTGTAATAAGCGTGGAAATGTCCATCATCCTGTGTTGTCAAATAAATCACCACACGTAGTACAACATATATGTCGATGGAAAAGTCATCACACACTACACAGGATCCAGACGTTTTTTTTTAGAGAACAGGAGGAGCTTGCGCCCCTACTGGTAATTTATTAAGAAAACTAAAACAAACATATGGAAGTTAAGTACAGGAAGGGTTCAAGAGACCCAAAAGGAAATGAAAAAGATAAGATCAATTACATCCTTTGTTCTAGCCATGAACTAATTTTTGGGCTGTATTTTTTCTTCGCTCGAAGAATAACTAGGGTGAAGACTTCTTTGAAGATAAACTTGCTCCTTTCTATTGTTGCTTCTTCATTTCTGAAAATGAAATTGTTCCTTGAGGTCCAAATACTCCAGCACAAAATGATAATTATCTCCATGAAGAAAGGAACATAGTGCCGGGCCCTTACAACAACAACAACAACAAAGCCTTTAAGTCCCAAACAAGTTGGGGTAGGGTAGAGTTGAAACCCAGCAGAAGCAATCAAGGTTCAGGCACGTGAATAGCTGTTTTTCCAAGCACTCCTATCTAAAGCTAAGTCTTTGGATATATTTCATCATTTTAAGTCTCCTTTTATTACCTCTATCTAAGTCAACTTCGGTCTTTCTCTGCCTCTCTTCACGTTATTATCCTGGCTTAGGATTCCACTACGCACCGGTGTCTCTGGAGGTCTCCGTTGGACATGTCCAAACCATCTCAACCGGTGTTGGACAAGCTTTTCTTCAATTAGTGTTACCCCTAATCTATCACATATATTATCATTCCGAACTCGATCCCTTCTTGTATGACCGTAAATCCAACGCAACATACGCATTTCCGCGACACTTATCTGTTGAACATGTCGTCTTTTCATAGGCCAACATTCTGCACCATACAATATAGCAGGTCTAATCGCCGTCCTATAAAACTTGCCTTTTAGCTTCTGTGGTACCCTTTTGTCACATAGGACACCAGATGCTTGGCGCCACTTCATCCACCCTGCTTTGATTCTATGGCTAACATCTTCGTCAATATCCCCGTCTATCTGTAGCATTGATCCTAAATATCGAAAAGTATCCTTCCTAGGCACTACTTGACCTTCCAAACTAATATCTTCCTCCTCTCGAGTAGTAGTGCCGAAGTCATATCTCATATACTCAGTTTTAGTTCTACTGAGTCTAAAACCTTTGGACTCCAAAGTCTCCCGCCATAACTCTAGTTTCTGATTCACTCCTGTCCGGCTTTCATCAACTAGCACTACATCATCCGCAAAAAGCATACACTAAGGGATGTCCCCTTGTATGTCCCTTGTGACCTCATCCATCACTAAGGCAAACAGATAAGGGCTCAAAGCTGAGCGGGCCCTTAAATCTTCTAAAATCTGAAAGGGATCTTGCAAGTGTGGAATATTCAATCCAACGAGATTCCAGTAAGCCTTTGCAAAGTCACACTGTTGAAATAGATGAGCTACTGTTTCTTCCACCGAGTCATTACAGAGTACGCAGTTATAAGACTGAAGATGCATATTCTTTCTCCTTAAAATGTTCCTGGTACTCAATTTGTCATGTGCTAGCAGCCAAAAGAAAACCTTGTGTTTGTGTTGGCAACGGGATTTCCAAATCCACTGAAAGGAGGGGTGTACCTGACTTGATCTCGACAGATGTCTATAGGCTTTTCTTGATGAGTACTCAGCCCTTCCCCAAATGTAGCTCCAATTATCATCAACATCCCCTGGGATGAATTTATGCAAGATCTCTTGTACTTCTAAGAACTGATCAAAGGCTTCCACAGAGAGAGGAAGGTTAAAAGTGTTAATGAGAGAAGGGTTCAATTTAGCAGAGGCCAAAGTCATGTTGGGCTTTTTTGAAACGGAGTGAAGTTCTAGGAAAGCTTGCTTTGGGATTTAGCCTAACCAAATATCATCCTAGAAAAGGCATGTACTACCATTTTGAACAGATACTGTGGCCATATCCTTGAATTTATCTAGTAACTTCAGAACATTCTTCCACCAAAATGATCCCTTTTTGACTTGGCCTGGCAATTTCCCATTATTGTAATACTTCTCCAACATGAGTTTCACCCAAGGAAGGTCCAGTTTATTGAAAAACTTGTGTAGATTCTTGATCAAGAGGGCTTCATTCTGAGTCTTCAAATCCAAGACTCCCAACCCTCCTTCCTCTTTGGGAGTTGTCACCAAAGTCCAAGCAGCTTTTGCATTAACTCTATTGTTTTCATCAAAACCCCTCCACAGACAAAATTTTCTATATTTGTCAATCTGCTCTCTGATGGTAACATGGAGGGAAAAAGTGCACATATAAAATGTTGGCAAGGCAGTAAGCACAGAGTTTACCAATTGTAGTCTCCCAACCTGTGATAGATATATGGAGGTGCATAGCAGTCTTCTCTCACATTTACTAACAATAAGAATGAACTCTTCCACTTTTGGCTTAGTAAGACCTAGAGGTAGCCCCAAATAGGTGAAAGGCAGATTCCCAGTTGAGCATCCGAAAGCCCTGGCAAGATGATTCAATTTCTCTAGAGATACATTAATTGGTACCATCATGGATTTCTGAAAATTCACTTTCAGGCCTGTTGATTCAGAGAAAGAATGAAGGAGGGCCTTTAGAGTGAAGAACTGAGATGCACAACCTTCCATGATGATCAGTGTGTCGTCAGCATATTGTAGGATTGGGAAGTCACTGGAACATTGTAGGGGTATTGGCAACTTGAGCAGACTTAGGTCCTTTGCTTTATTGATGATGGACTGTAGCAGATCAGCAGCTAAGACAAACAAAAGAGGGGAAAGAGGATCTCCTTGCCAAACTCCTCGCTTATAGTGAACAACTTTTCCAGGAACTCCATTAAGCATCACAGAAGAAGTACCAGAGTTGAAAATTGCTTGCATCCAAGAAATCCAGTTTGGGCCAAAGCCTTTTGCCCTCATTATTTCTATCATTGCCCTACGTTCAATCTTGTCAAAGGCCTTCTCAAAGTCCAGCTTGAGGATAATCATTTCCTTTTTGGATTTATGGCAGATGTGGAGATACTCAAAAGTCCAAGCCAAACAGTTTTGAATGGTTCTGGATTTGATAAACCCATATTGGTTCTTGTGGACAAGACTTGTGATGAAGGGCTGGAGTCTATTAGCAAGCAACTTTGTTAGGATTTTGATAGAGGAGTTTAACAGTGAGATTGGTCTAAAATTAGAAACTTTTGTAGGTCCATCAAGAGGCGGGCAAAAAGAGTTAACCGAGGCAAAAAGGTCACGATTAATCTAGCCTTAACGGAGGTGGTTGGTCGCCCGCCTCGGTTAATCAAATAAAAAAAATAAGAAAACTTGTGGACAAGCCCAGCGAGCCCATCCACACATCGCTGTCGCCGTAGCTACTCGCCGGTGTGAGCATCCTCACCGGACCGCGCACAGAATCGGGATCCGACCACCCACCGCCAGATCCGTAGCATCCTCACCGAAGACACAGGTCGGAGATGCCGGATCCATTGCATCCTCACCAGAGACACGGGTCGGAGGCGCCAGATCCACTGCACCCACGTCGGATCCACTGCGTCCTCGCTGGAGACGCGGGTCAGAGACGTCGGATCCACTACACCCACGCAGGATCCACGCGCAGCCCACGT